TGGGCAACACAGCGAGACCCTATCTCTACCAAATAATAATAATAATAATAACAATTAGCCAGGAGTGGTAGGGTGCACCCATAGTCCTAGCTATTTGGGAGGCTGAGGTGGAAGAATCACCTGAGCCCAGGAGGTCAAGGCTGTTGTGAGCAATGATTGTGCCACTAACCTCCATCATGAGCGACAGAGTAAGACTAAAAAAAAAAAAGTCACAAACAAACAAACAAACAAAAACCCACCATAGGACAATGTGAAAAGATGCAGAAAAACAGTCTACTGAAATGCAATACCCATTCATGATTAAAAAATTCTAAGCAAAAAAGTAACATCAAGAAATCTCTTCCATCTGATGAAGACATCTATGTAAATGCCCCTGCTAACATCAACCTTCTTGGAGAAATGTACAACTAGACTCCACTCTTGCTACTTGAGTCATGGAGGTCCTAGTCAGTGCTAGTAGGTAAGAAAAAAAACACAGAAACCAAGACTATAAAGTAAGAAGTAAGATTGTTAGCATATGACATGACTGTTATGCAAACTATCAGAAATCTACAAAAACACCTCTTAGACCCTAGTAGTAGTAAGTGAATGGAGCAACATCACAGGATACCATGTCAATACAGAAAAATCATTTGTAGTCCTATATGCTTGCAACAAACAATTGGAAAGTAAAAATTTTAAAAACGTAATTTACAATAAAAGAAAAAACATTAAAAAACCACAAGACTTCACTGAAATCTTTAAAAATTTCTGAGAGAAATTAAAGATCCAAATAAAAGCATATGCATTGACTGGAAGATTCAATATTATAAAAATGTAGTTATTTCCTTGTTGATAAATAGACTCAATGCCATCTAAATAAAAATCCCAGCAGGCTTTGTTTGGGGCAAGGGGTAAGGTTAGAATTGGCAAGTTGATTCTAAAATATATATGGAAACGCAAAAGACCTAGAATAGCCAAAACAGTCTCTAGAAAGAGCAAAGTTGGAGAATTACCCTTTCCAATTTCAAGAAATATTGGCATTGGTATACAAACAGACAAACATGTCAATGAAACAGAAGAGAATATCCAGAAATAGACCTGTTCTTCTGTGATCAGCTGATTTTTGACAGAGGTGTGAAGGTAATTCAATGGGGGAAAGAAACATCTTTTCCACAACTGCTGTTGGAATATCTGGACATATATAAACAAAAAACATATACACAAAAATTAATTTCAGATGGATCATAGACCTAAACACTAAAGCTTCTAGAAGAAAACACAGGGGAATTTCTTCATGACCTTGTGGTAGGCAAACACTTTTGAGTATACGAAGAGCATGGACAAAAAAAGGAAACAAGGATAAAATGGATTTTAAAAAAATGAGTACGTTCTGCTCATCAAAAGATACTACTAAGAGAATGGAAAGGCAAGCCCCGGACTGGGGACAATGTCATGGGACATGTGTCTGACAAACACTGAAAGAAACTTACATATGAAACTCATTAATAAAAGGCTAACAACCAAATTAAAAGCAGTCCCGACTTGAGCAGACACTTCACAAAAGAAGATAAACAAGGACATGACAAGACGTTCAGCAACATGAGGAAACGCAAATTGAAACAAGCACTATCACCTCAGCCCCTCTAGAATGGCCGGAATGAAAAAGGCTGACAAGCCCAGTGCTGGCGAGGGGGTGGACAACTGGAACACTGGCATGCAGCTGGCGGGAGCATCCGATGATCCAAATTTGGATCCGTCCACTCCCAGGTATTCACCCAAGGAAAGGAAAGTGAGTGTCTATGAAAGACGTTCCCCAACCTGGAAACAACCCAAACAACCATATTCAGGGGAATGGACTAAAAAATTATACCACGCTCAGAGAATGGAATATTACTCAGCAGTGAGGAAGGAATGTCGCAACGGAGAACCAGAAACAATTATGTCGACTGAAAGCAGGACACAAAGAGCATGCTCTAGATCATCCAGTGACAGGAAGGAACTCGAGAGGAAAAACTTGGCTGGCCATGGAAAGTCGAGCAGCAACTGCCCAGAGGAAGGGATGACCCGGAAAGGGGTCTGAGGTAACGTGGTCAAAAGCATCCAAAAGATGTATCTAAAATCCGTCCACTCCACTGTATGTAAATTACACTGCAATTAAAAAAAGACAAATAGGCAAAGCCCTTGCCTCAAAGAACTCATCACTCGGTTGAGAAAGGGAAGCACACACGAGGACGCGAAGAGCCGCAAAACACAAGTGAGGTTCCAGTGTGGCCTGTGGCCACCGTCCAACAAGACTGGGAGGAGCGGGGAGCTGCCTGCGCACTCGTGGGCGGGAGACCCTGTGGAAGGAGGCTGAGGGCATAGAGGCTGCAGCGGTAGAAAGGGGCTGGGAGGTGAGGGGGGTACTGAGCAGAAGCTGTGCCCGTGGGCCTCCGGGGGCAAGCTCACGGATGGACTCTTCACAGCAAGTCCACCCAGCAGGCAGGAGCACAGTCCTGAATTGCAGAAAGAGCTCCGAGAGGTCAAGGGCCCTGCCTGAGGCCATCGTTCCGATAGAGCCTGTGCGCGCCCAGGAAAGGGTATTTCACTTGGGAGGGATGGGGTTTGCTGGGCATCCGTGAGCAAGAAAGAAGCACGTGGCGGGAAAGGCCCTGGTCGGTGCCAGGCAGTGTCCTCGGAGTCCACTGTTGAGAATTTTGCTCCACGGGAGGGAGCCGGCAGCTGGTTCCACTCAGAGGGTGCCACTGCCGTTTGTCACCTGTGGGAGTGTATACGTGTGGGCAGGGCCTCCTGCGGAATGACAGCTGCTTCTACATCGTGCACACACACCGCCCTTCCAGAGGACAAAGAAGTAGGGTGTGTGAGGAAGGCCACCACGGACCTCCTCTCTTTCCGCCCCTTCTCTTCCACCTTCTCCAATGTCAAGCCAAGGCCGCAGGACAGTTCTCTGGCCGTGCAGACCCACGACCTGGCCTTCTGACACAGTGCAGAGCAGTGACGCAGCCCAGCTTAAGAGAGGAGTCTTTAAAAGCGATTTCTTCTTGTCAGCATGAGCTGCTGTCTTTCTCTTTCATTATATTTAAAATGGAGCCCTCTTCGCTACAGTGGAAAGGAGATTTTTTTTTGAGGTTACTTCAGATGTTTTCTTGAGACTAGTGTTAACATAAAGCTAATGTCTCTTCGAACTCTGAACCAATCTGCTAAGATAAACAGGCTTCACTTACAATGTTCCCTCACCAAAATCATTGCTTGTGGTCTGCAACTTCTTAAGACTCAATTCATACACACTAAAATGTCTGCTTAAGAAACACCCCCCCCTCAAGACAGCTTTGCCATGGAAACCACAGAGACACGCCTGCTTCAGACTCTACAGCAACCACAGATACGCCCATCTTCTAAGGACACATCCCATGTAGACTCTGGGACAGCTCAGAAGATTAGACAACTGCAATACCCAAACACAAAACATACGCTATCATTCCTTTTTTTTAAGCTGTATTTCAGGCCGTGTAAGTCTTAATCATTGTTACTATAATAGTTATATTTGCATCTGTTTGTTTTTTCCCTTAAGCTGGATTTCAGACTTGAGTATCACAGATAAAAAGGGAAGATAAAGAGGCATGTTGAAGTTTCAGAGAATAACAACTTTGGGATCCACATGAGGGCCTGGCATGGTCTGGGTTTCTAGAAAAAGTCACTCTGTCATTACTTAAGAGTCCCAAGCCTGCTGTAAATGAAGGTCTCACACCACTGAAAGTGTAGGAGGGGAAGGGGTCTCGGGAGGGTCTCAGGAGGGGGAGGAGGAGCAGGAAGTCCTACTAATCGGGAACATGCCAGGTCTGGAAGGCCAGGCCTTGCTGCCGGTACTTTAACACTGTCAAAGTTTGATATGAGAGAGGCTTTATCTCCCTTGCTGGGCTGCAAACTCCAATTTGTGGATCACTGAATCCCCAGTGTGGAATGCAATGCTAGGAACACCGCGGACTTTCCCTGAGTGTCGGGAAGCCACGGAGAGGATGCCTGGCAGACAGGCTGCATCTGTTTGAGTCTCGGGATCCAATCGCTTGCGGTTGGGCTCCCAGGTGTGGCGCGCTCAGTTGTTGGAGTGATAAAGAAGTGACCACATGCCGTGCTCTGGTTTATTTTCAGGAACGATGGTTTTGATCCACCTCTGCTTCCACGTAGGAGGCTGTGGCTCATGAGGCCTGATGCTCCAGACCCAGTGTACTTCTCTGTTTCCCTACTCCACACACACACACCCCCCGAGAGGCTCATGAGCAGCAGCTGGACCTCTGGACTCCAAGCCCAGCAGGCGCCACCCCCGTGAAAGCACCAGTGTACTTTCACAGCAATTTCAATAGTTCTGAACTATGCGTGTCACCGTTTACTCGATCAAGGAATGCGCAGGCCCTAATTTGGGCAACAGCTGTGGTATACACTACAGAGAGGCAACGGGAATATTATTACTCGAGGCCCAGGTCCACCCGAAAAAGCGGCCGCTGAATGTATGTACTGACTGCTAAGCAACAACAATATCTGTTTACGGTCACCTGAAACTTTCCAACAAAAAATACAATGGAAGCAGCCGCCCGACTTTCATCACTGACACCAATGACCCACAACTCTAATTTCTATTTAGCACTTCTTCTCTAATCTAGAGTGGTCAATTCTGACAAACCCTACATTCTGTTAAAAACGAAAAGCAGTCAAGGCTGATTTTAGAGACCAAGAGAAAGCACCACCAGATATGGGCCAGTTTCTTCCCAACGAGGCGACATGGCCCAAGTACCCGTCCTTGGCTTTGTGGCCAGGCAGTCTCTGCTGCAGCCACTCCCTCTGCTGCTGTGGCAGGAAAGCAGCCGCAAGTGCAAGGAAAGAGACGGTGCTGCTGTGCTTCCACACACTTTACCTGCACAGGCAGTACAGGGCAGGATCGAGCCCCTGGGCAGCAGCTGGCCAGCCCCTGGGCTGGATGACCAAAATGCTCTTGCTCTAGGGATAACTCCAGGGTCACTTACTTTGCTCTTTTGGCCATCTCATTGCCATCCCATCTGGGGCTGTATGGGTAGTTTTTCTGGGCCTGGGAGTAGAGCTGTCCACTATTGGTGAAGTGATAGACGGACTGAAACGTCAGTGTCGGCTGGTCTCGAGGGAAAAACAGGGGCAGGTCGACTGTGGAGACAGAAAGCACAAGAAAGGCAGCATGTGAACACATCATGAGGAGCTTCTTGGGATAAATGAGAATGCAGTGCATAAAACTCTATTTAAACCACAAATGCTGGCTGAGGCCTAGACAAAACATGTGGTGTGGAGAGAGGGACCAAGAGATGCAAGGTGCCTCTCTGTCCCCAGGAGCTCACAATCGACAAATCACACGCGTGGAAACGTCACCAGCATGAGGCTGGACGGGCGGGTCCTGGAAGATGCTGTGAAGCGGCTGCGGACGCACAGGGCAGAAGCAGTGCCAGTGCACGAAGTCGGCTGCGTCCTCCAGCCCTTGCCGCATCGAGTGCTTCAGAGCGGAGCTGGCTGCATCCCAGCTTCCAGGCACTCCTGGAGCATCAGCTCTCCGAGGCTTGGGCAGTGTCTTCCTCATCCACCACCCGAGGGAGGAACTGGGAGGCTGTTCTTCAAGGACGGGTTTGGGAAGGGATGAAGAACACAGGTGGTCGTCTGTCTGCTTCACGAGATACAGCAACTGGACCACCCGAAAACCAGAGTTCCCACTCTACTTGCAACCAAGCACGGAGTTTGATACTCAGCAGTTTCCACTTCTCCATATGCGTGTTGCCGCATTTATTTATATCTCCTAATCAGTGGGAGTTTCTTAATGGATGCAACAGGGACGAATCTGAGCACTAAATATGTCTGCTGTCACAGTATAGGCCGATCCTAATCCTTGCTGTTAACATGTGCCATGTGCTTTATCTTTTCATGGTGGGGTTCTTTAACTCAACTTTTAAAAATAAAAGACATACTATTTTTAGTTAAGGCAAGCCATCATTAAAAACACAGACTGTTTCAACAGCACATTCTTAAAGGTACATAAAGAGTGTTTTGTGAATGTCATCCACTTCTAGGACAAAGAATCGGAACACTATAAAACCTAACGAGAAAAACGTGTATAGAATTTTCCAGCATTACAGAGTACTGTTACATCCTTTATCTCATGTGTTTCTCATAGCTCCAAGGAAAAGACGCTGCTTGTAACATTTACTTTTAACAAATGAGCAAACCTGAGACCCTTTGCTCACGTGAGCACGAGGCCGGTAGGACTCGGACCTCGTGGTTCAACGTGGGGCTCCTGCTGGGCCACATGCTGTCTCCTGCCTCAAGGATGCTGGGACAACCGCTCACAGCTCACTCTTGTGGCCCAGTTACCATTTAGCAGGCTAAGGTCTCCATGCGGAGGGAGGAGGAGGCTGGTCCTTCAGGCTACAGGAGGCAGAGATATTTTAAAAACACGCACTGGATGGCTGAATGCCTCTCACCACCCCTGTCGGGGGAACACTTCACCTTGGAGGAGGCCCTCTAAGTACCCCAAGTGGTTTCTTGAAGGAAAACTTAGGCTCACAGCAAACTGTACAAGAGAAAAACAAACCAAGAAAACCCCCAGGAAACAAAGACCTGTCGGGCTGGTAGAGCCTCTGAGACCCATGGGTACAGCTGATTCTGCTGGGGTCTGACTCAGGCCCAGGGGTTTCTAGATGAGTCACGCCACACCCGGGAGAAGGGCAGCTTCTGAAGGTCACTCCCTAGTCACCGAGCACGACAGGAAGGCAGTCTCCATGTGTGTCCACTTGGGCCAAGGCAGAGATTTCTTAACACACAGGAGTAACACAGAACATAAAAAGAATGAATTCAACTCGGAAGTAACTCAATTCAGAAAACCCTTCTGAATCCCTTTGTGCTACAAAGCGTGATCTGTAACAGCTTCCCTCGCTCTGAATCTTTTCTTTTTTTTTTTTGAGTTGGAGTCTCACTCTGTCGCCCAGACTGGAGTGCAGTGGCTGCTCCCGGCCACCGCAACCTCGACCCGCTGCTGACTACTGCTTTCATTTCTTTGACTTCAACTGGTTTTCTGCTACATACAAGTTTCTAAAGAGCAAATAAGGTCTGGATTCACCTCCAAAGCAACCATTACTAGTAGAAGAGCAACATATAAGCATCCTACAAAAACGTAGCCATTTTGAATGACCCCCCAGGAAACAAAAGAGTTCAATAGCAACAATCGATCATTTAAAGTAGATATAAACTGGGCTCAGTGGCTCATCTTGTAATCCCATGCTTTGGGAGGCTGAGGTGAGTAGACTGCCTGAGCCCACGGGTTTGAGACCCGCCTGGGCAACTTGG